TAGATCATTTATGAGTGTTTCCTGTCATGAATCATGGTTGTGCATTGTGATTGGCAGGATCCTGGGGAGGGCGGGGCGTTTTCTGTGGGAGGGGTTTAACCCCAGAAGTCTGACTGGTCTACAAGAGGGCGTGGCTGAGAGGCGGGGCCAAAAGAACCCATGGCAGGAATACAACTACCTTCAGCAGACCAACACGGCTGAGTATAATACTCTACTGGAGACGCTGCACTCCCTCAAGGTTTCAGTTCATATATGATGTGTCCTTTGAATGTGCTGCTTTCATGTTCTAGAAGTGTAAAATTGAAGTTTGTTTTGTGCAGGAGAAAGGAACAGGAAACTCAAGCTTATTGGCTGAGACTCGCGGCGCTCTGACGCGTCTGAACCAGCAGTCCAATCAGCTGGCGTTTGACTCCGTGTTCCTGCAAATCAAGCAGCAGCTTTTCCTTCTCAACAAACCACAGGTTTGCACGGTGTTTTTACGTCACTATGAAATGTCAAAAATTGTGTGTATCGTATTTGATTCATTGTGTTTTTGACTTTTGAAGGGTCGCGGCTCTGCTAATTTGAGTCAAACGCTAACTGATGATCTACCGGCCTTCAGTTTGTCACCGCAGGAGTACATCACTAATGTAAGACAATATGAACACATCATCTGAGTGTTAGTCCATGTCCTTATGATGTCAAACATGATGACAGATGATCACAAAATGCTCTTAAAGATACAAGGACAAACTCAAGCCACATGTTCACTGGTCGAGATGAAGGTGAATGGCTGTAATTAGACTCTTTATCGTAGATTCCTTCACACTGCATCACACTTATTTGTGCAAATTTGTTATACTGTACTTTATATATATATTTTTATATTTTCTGTTTTCATTTTAATATGTAAATATAAAATGTATGTAAATATATTTTATATATATGTGTGTGTGTATTATATAAGTATAATACACATGTATAATATATTATATATATTTTTTACAAATCTGATCTATATACATTCTAGTTATATAATTGTGCACTCATTTGTGTTTTGTCTATAGATCGGTCAGTATATCATGTCTTTGCCTCTGCATTTGGAGCCGTTTGTGACTCAGGAGGATCCAGCACTGGAACTGGCGCTACACACTGGCAAACTGCCGTACCCTCCAGAACAAGGTGAACCCAAGCACATGAAATACAGCTGTTACACACACACACACACATACATGATGTCTGATGTGTCTGTTCTCGCTGTAGGCGATGACGTCCCTGAGCTGGAGAACACGGCGGATTATTGGCTGGGTTCTATCGCCAGGGCGACCATGCAGACCTATTGTGATGTCATCCTGCAGCTTCCTGAGCTCAGCCCGCATGCAACCAAACAGCTGGCAACT